CACATACAGTTTCAGTCAACGATTTTCTCATGGTTTATTAATTCTTGAGGATCAGAACAGCTCATTTAACCTTTGACAAGTCTGATTTAGGAACCGTATTGTATATAAACGCTAACACACACAAATACACATATTCATAAAATCAAGCAAAAATAACAGGACCAGTATGAAAGAAAATTAACCAAACTACTCTATATCGATCTATATAGGTGTTTAATTTTTAATTTTTGGCTTGATTGAGTCTATATAAGAAGTAAGATAGAGCCTAATAGTGCTCTTGCTTTAGTGTTAACGTAAGACTTTTATAAGAATGACACCCGGCTCTTATGATGTCCATCATATGATGTACGAACGCTCAGCACGTCTTCATCCGAAACGAGGGAGTTAGTCTCGTTGACTTCCTCGTATAAAAACTAAACGGCTGCACGCACAAATACGCATACTCATACAATCGAGCAAAAATAACAGAACCAGTATAAAAGAAAATTAACTAAACCACTCTATATCGATCTATGTAGGTTTTTAATTCTCATTTGTCTAAATTGAGTCTATATAAGAAGTAAGATAGAGCCGAATAGTGTTCTTGGCCTAGTGGTTAATTTAGACTCTTACAAGAATGACACCCAGCTCTGATGATGTACATCATTTTATGGACGAAAGCTCAGCACGTTTTCACCCGAAACGAGGGAGGAAGTCTCGTGGACTGCGTCGATATGAATATCGTATAAAAGCCAACCGGCTGCAGTACAACGAGATTCATTCGTCCTCATCTAGTGAGATCGATCAACGAATCTCGTCTTCATTCACTTTCATACGAACTAAAAGTCCACCTTAAAAGGCTTTATCTATACTCTGATTTGGTTATTTCTAATCATGTCAACCTCGAAGGATTCTAGTGTCTGTCTCTGCATGTCCATGTGCCTGTATATGTCCGCCTATGCACGAAACCAGCATTGATGGCTCAAAGTAATTAGGACAGCAAAAGTAGCGTCTAGAAGTGGGTTGACCTCGTTGTTGCAACTTGGTCTTGTGTTCAGGGAGACTATGTAGAACGCACGGAGTCCGAAGTCGTCTGCCATAGTAGTTGTCTTGATTCCCAGCATCTGATAGTGAACTTGATACATTCTCAGACGTTTCGCCGGCATCGTAGTCGGCATCATCAGTGAGCCTTGCCATTCTTCGCACCAAGATACGAACTCGTCAAAGGAGACTGCGACCATACCCGAGGCCACAACATCTTGGTCTTCACATCATCAAAAGTAACGTCTGTTCTCAGCCATCAAGGTTTGATAACCACTACCTCCCTCTTTTTACACACATGTTATAACCATCATTCCGATTGCGCAAGGTCGGACACATGTCTGGTTATGTTGATGAGCCCTTTTGGCATTCATGTAAGAGAAAGAATGGGCTAAAAATACATAGAAGTGACAATGGTTAGAACCAAGACAAGAGACTAGTTGAGTCGCCTCATTTTTGCAGGCGGCTCAACACCTTCCATACCCTTGAGTCCATTAATTAAGCACAAGTAGTGTTTACTTAACTTCCTTCCGGTATTCCTTACATTCAATGTATCTCCAAATCAGTTTATTTTAATGGCTTCACTAATTTTTAGTTT